TAAACATTGGTAGTTCATCGTCAGTGAACGGCGATGATATGATATTTCTTTTCCTGCTACCCTTAGTGAACGTTGGTAGCTCACTGTCAGTGAATGTCGGTGTTGTTATTTATTTCCTATTTCTACCTTCAGTGAACGTTGGTAGCTTTACCTCAAGTAGGAGTTGGTGTATCCTTTGACCATTTTACCATCCTCTCTGGGTTGGGTCTCTCTCTTGTTTCTTTATCATTGTTACATCCCCAATGGTGTTCTGTATCCCTTTGGATTTGTCCATGTGCACTCATATTCATAAGCATTGCATGGCATCTTAGGGCCAAAAATAGGGTTTGTTTTATATTTAAGTATCTTCGATCGTGTCGACACGAAGATTTTTAACCTTCGTATCTTCGGATAGAAGAAACTTAAATAAGGGCAGTTGTTGTACCCCAATTCCTAATATCCCTTCACCATACCATATTGATTCAATCACAACAAGATCACATTAGAATTCTTGGTTCCCCTCCCTATACTTAGCTTTTCTCTTTGAGGAATCACCAAGCACCTTGACTTGTGTTCTTTTGTGATCATGAATATTTTTTGTCTTGATTTATTCTTTTAATTAATAAAAGGCAATGTTGGATTGTCTTGCTTGTTACTCATGTAGGTAAAGGCAATAAGATTCAGTAAGTTGCTCCATGGGTTCATGAGTTTATTTCCATGACCTAGTCAATGAAGCTTGAGAATTTAAAACCTCACCATTGAATTTGTTTTGGAAGGGATGGCATGGCAAGGTTATTTTGGTTCATTATATTTCCAAGTTATTATGATTTGATCCAAAAAGTACAAGGAGTTGATTGAAAAGTAGTCATGGTTGGACAAGGTCTTGTTCCCATTGGTCACAAGTGCATATTTCTCTCAATTATCAAGATATGGAAGTTGTTATGGTTGCTATGAATTCTCATTATCATCTTCAACAACTTATATTTATAAAGCATTTGTTTTGGTACAAGAAGTTTGTTCAAAATTGTCAAAGTTCCTCAAGGCGTGATTCTTAATCTATGAGCTAGGGTTTTGAACTTCAAAGGAGTATATCTTTCCCATCTTTTGGTATTTTTGAGTGATTCCAAAGACATACTTCTCTTTAAAGGGATATCAACAAATCACTTCAAAAGTTCCAAGGATTTTTCATGTGGAAGAAACTTGATGATGAAGAAAGATTACAAGTCCTCTAGATGAACCCCCAATTTCTCAAGTTTGACTTCAAATGATCATAACTTGGTCAATTTTTATCACCTTGAGCCTATTATTTTTCCATAATGATCTTGAAGATGTGAACTTTATGCCTTCTTTTATGTGCAAAGTGAGAAAATGAATGGAAGTTTTCTTAAGGATACTAAAGATTATAGGTCATTTTATGAAATGTTTCCAACTTCAACAAGTCATAACTTTCTCAATTTTTGGAGATTGTGAATGTTTCAAGTTTCAAAATTTCATTCAAGATATCTACTTCATGCCATCTTTTTTGGTCAAAAGCAAATTCCAAGTGGAAAGCTATGTTTGGATGCAAGACATTATAGGTCACTTTTGAAGAAAAATTTGAAATATTTCTAAGTATGGAAAGTCAACCATTTTTCCTCAACTTTGACTCAACACAACTTTCAGCTCAAGCATCCATTTGATTCCATTATTTTTCATTGCAAAGCTTGAAACCTCACCTTTCTAAAGCATCGAGAATCATGCCCTAAGACCCCTTGAGTTGAAAATGCCATTGGTCAGAAGTTGGCACTTTGAAACTGAATTTCTCACCAAGTCAGAATTTTGAAATCCATAATGTGGCCTCTAATCACAAGTTTTCCACGCGTTTTTGCCTCTAAACATGTTTAGTGAAGTTCCAGATTTGTTTAGCACCTCAAAACGCAAAGATTGGATGAGTTTTGGTGAAAATTAGATCACACTTCACTCGTGCATCAGGTTTGCACGAATTCCCTCCAAAATGCATCATTCACTCTTCCTTTTGATCCCATTTGCTTCTCCTATAAATACATGAACTATCCCATTTGTTTTCTCAAGCTTGGATAGCCAGAATCACCCTGCCAAACTTGTTCCCTAACTCAGAATTCAGCAACTTCGAAATCCATTCTCAAGCCTTTTTTTAATCCAATTTTTTCATCAATTCACCTTCCTTGATCTTCCCTGAAGCTAACCATATAATTACATTCAAGAATCGTGTCCTATATTGCTCCAAAGAAGTCCAGTTTCAGAGCTCTGCAACTCAACTTTAATAGGTAGATTCCTTCATCAATTCTTCAAAACTTTGATATCATTGTGATGCTATCATTGCCCTGGTTCTAGTTGCAACACTTACTTCTTACTGGAAACACGTTTTGACCATGAAATTTCAAATCCCTTTTCAAAACTTTCTTTCCAAATTGCTTGAGCTACAGTTTATATAAATTTGGCGCGAGGGTGTGGTTGTCTTTGTCTTGAAGAGACGAAGCGAATGGCATAGGTCTGAGCTTCTGATTTTACAGTTTGAGAGACCTGCAATTCACGTTGGCTGGAGGTTGAAGATGACCAATGTGTCATCTTCCAACCAATGATGGCACACCATTTGTTATTTTTGAATTCTAATTTTATTTCTTATTCAATGCTTTATTCACTAATGACCATGATATGCACAGCGCGCCAGATCCCTTGGATTTGATTACTAACACGTTTTGACTCTCATCCAATGGTCCACATATTTTTTACTTTTATTTTCTTTTCTGATTTTTTATATTTAATTGTTTTAAACTTCAAAAAATCATAGAAAATTCATTTTTAGTCCAAAAAATCTGAAAAAATTATGAAAAATATTTTTGATTATTCTCTTTCTAATTTTTATTTTTTCACAATTTAATTTTGTATTTTGGTATTTTTTATAAATTTACACTTTATTGGAATTGTTTTAAATGTTTAAAAATACTTTTATGCATTTTTAAATTCTGAAAAAATTATGGAATGATCCAATGATATTGTGACAAATATTGGTAACCTCATTTTATTTTTGTTTCCGAATTTTCTATTTTTTATCATTTTTGGTTTATTTCACCCATTTCTTTAAATTTTAAAATAGTTTCTGACTTTAAAAAATTACCAAAAAATTTATAAAATTATTTTACTTCATTTCTGATTTTTCTATGGTCTTACTTTTTATTTCCTGATTAATTTGAACTTAGTTGACATTTTTTATCTTTTATTTCTATTTTTAAACATTATTTTTAAACCTTTTTGTATATATTAAAATGTAATATTATTTTGTGATTATTTTCTGGCTGATCTTGGGTTAAATTTTTGATCATGAACTTTATTAACATCATTGGATCCATGGTGTTGAGTCTAACTCCACAAAAATGGATGAATGATTTTAATAATAGTTTGATTAAATTTAATCCAAAAGTGGTTTGTATATTCTCTCCACCCCTCTTTATCTCATAATCTTCTTATTGCACTAAATGTTGTTGATCTCTATATTATGTCTTAAAAAAATGGTTCATAGATTGCTATTGACCGGCCTCAAAATAGGTGCGACTTTTATATAAGTCCACTTACGATTTCTTAACATAACGCTAAATTTTATCCTGATTCGAATAAATGATCATTCGTGGCCCAAACTTATGTTTGCAAGCCCAAGTATGTTAATTTTATCTCTTTGATCTAATAACCTTGAGATTAATTGTGTGGAGGCTTTAGTTCTACCAATCCTCTAATAGATCTACAACACCTTTGGTCATGGCGGATCACTTAAAAAACGTTGATCATTAAACGATACTCATAAGGATTCCAAATGGATGATATACTTGACAAAATCAATCCTGTAGGTAGTAGGTATATTTTCCACACGGACAATGACGATGACGTTTTATCTCATAAAATTAACTAACACATTTTTTTTAATTTTTAAAAAAAGAGGAACTATGGGTACCCTGATCCCCTATTGCACGAAAAGGTGGTACGTAGGCACTAAAGGTTCTCAACCGTGGCAGGTGCAAAAATAATAAATATATTTCTTTTCTCAACTCCACCATCTATTTTATACAATATGTTTCATAGCCAAAATATATAGATTTTACTAAGAGGTTCCTGCGGAGTACCGTAGATGTTTAGGGTGTTAATACATTTTCTTTGCATAACCAACCCCCTTACCTTGAATCTTCCCCTCTTTTTGAGTTATTCGCTCTTTTCCCATTCCTTTGGAAACAATAAAGCGCGGTGGCAATTTCTATTTTGACGTGTATAAGTCTAGTCAATCCAATGGCTTAGTCTTGAATATTTATACCGCTACACTAAGGTTGCACAATGCCTTGTCCTAACTATCATTCTTCAAAATCCAAGGATCACTCTTTATTCCTTATCTCTTCCCTTGTTTCATTCTTCATCTTCATGCTCAAGAGTTATTGCTAAACCATTACAGCCCTGCTGCACATCAACAAATCTGCATATTCACAAAAAAAACAGTCAACCAATACAGCCCCGTATATTGATTTTTGCAGCCAAGCGATTCAAAAGGAGAAATTAATACGATAATAAATAAAATCAGAATTCTATAAATCGGAAAGGAAAAGTTAACAGAAAAAAACTAACTAAGAGTTTCCATCTAACTGTCAGTTCACCTATAATTGTTTGCCAACTACCTATAACAGAACTCTCTAACCTCTCATCTACATCGTTCAACAGAAAACTGGATCTAATGGCTAGGGATAGTTATGTTGTAACTAACTATTCAACCTTCCTCCAACTGCATAAAGTTACCGCTTCCGCAATCTTGAGGATTCGACGATCCATTTTATAAATCACAGAAAAATCAAGAAAATCCACCTTTCAATTCCGAGTCTATCTCTCAGACTCTCTCTTTCTCTCTTCAATCTTCTGCTTCATTCATATGCTTCATCTTCTTTAACCTTCTACAATCATCTGCAAATTCTTGGCACCTTTTCATCTATTTCTCTGCGACTTCATCCTCTTGTCTACAACTTTGCTTAATGTTTCATCATCTTTTGAATCAACAACAACGAACCTTCATCATCCCCACGTCAGCATCATCCTCAACAAATTCTTTAGTGTTGCACACTTCCTCAATCTGCATCACACACTTCACATCATCATCAGAGTTCAGTCATTCACTGCACGCACATGATAACATCTCAAATGCAGAAAACACGAGAAAACGAAATGTAAAAGAAGGATAAATTAGCGAAGAAGAGGACGTAATTCGAACGTAGTTGTACCTGGAGCGAGAGTTCTATGGTTTTGTGCTTCTAATCGCCGTTGTCGAAGACACATCAGACGAACTCTGATAGGTAAGTTTTGGCATCTAGTTTTCTCGCATCGTTCATATGAGTAACCTACTTGAATATGTGCAATCTGTGAATGGATTCAAAAATCTTCAAAGCTTCATTGTTCTTCGTGTAGCTTCGATTTAGATGTGTAGTTAAGGAAACACAATAGATTGAGGAACAAATCGGATCGTTGAGATGAGACGGAGGTGAGAACGAATCAAGATCGAAGATGAGGCGAGATGGTTGAGCGTCGTCGAAGTGGAAGAGGAATGGTGGTGTTGTGTCGCTTTCAGTGGAGAGGAGGAAGAACGATCAAGGTTGATCCGCCGCCGCGGTGGTTGTGATAGAAAAAGGAGAATATTGTGAAAAAGCTTAACAGTCACAACAAGAAACCATATCTCCTCTTCAAACGACGTGTTTCTGTTTTTTTATTTGTTGTTAGTCTCTCTTTTAAACAAATAATTATAATAATAATAAAATTGAAATTAAATTGTATTGAGATGGATTATTGGACTGATTGGAATTCAATGGACTTGCTACATGTGCACTCCTCTAAGCCCAACATTTTTTTTAGTATGTTTATAAGTTAGCTAGTTTGAATAAAAATCCTCTTGGACTCATGCTTGACGGGCTTAACATTTATGTTGGCAGCACACTTCTTGTCTGTTGCTTGCACCCCTGACTATAATCTTTAGATTTTTCTATATTTCTTTTATTGATTTTTGTTAATAAGAATTAGTGAGTTTTAAGAGATAATCGGAATAATAGAAACAATAAAAATGATAGAGTATGATAGAGTTTTTGTCTAGAATTTCTTTAGTTTTTTATGGAATTTTTCCGCACGTAAAAAACTAATAAAAAAATATTTTTTTTCTTTTAGTTTTTTGTTCATATTTTTATACTGTCGTACCTCACTATTTTTGACGCGTTTGTTCATTGTGTAAGGTACATTTTTGGTGTTTTCGATCACGTAATATAACAAGTTGTTATGTGATCGAAGCATATAGCTTATGCTCGCTTTCGGTGCGACACGCCTTATTTCTCATCGTTGTGAGAAGTTCATATGATATTATATGTTGTCCAGATGCATGTAATATTTTATGATGTTTTATGCAAAAACTTCTGATTACGCGTTGCATTCGCAACACGCGTTTGCATTTATCTTAGTTGGATATCATTTCTGACTTTGTTTATTTCTTGGTGAAGCTTGCTCGACGCGTACTCCCTGCTTCTCCATCGCTTTCGTTTGCTTTCGACGATTTGTTTGCTTTGGTAGCCGCCATTACCGCTTTTACACTTTTCCGCACTTTACCGCTTTTCTAGAGATCGTGAGAAGTAGGATTTTACTGTTTTCCGATTCCATGAGAAGTAGGATAGAGATGTATGAAGGAGATCTCTGTTGCAGATCATGTCAGAAATCCCTCTGGTTTATTTAAAGACCAATATGTGCATTTTGTCTGCTATTTATGTTTGTTTAAAACCCTATCTTTGAAGTAGGTATTCCGCACGTATGTTTACATGTGTGCCCACATATGTTACAGATGACAAGTCATCAAAAGGAGACGAGCGGAAAGAGTTCGCAATCAACCCCCGCAATTTTGTTTCTGTCATCCTTAGCTCATGACGCACCATGATGCTTTGAAGTTGTGCATGTTCTTGTTAACGAGTCGTCAAGTGGAAAGGGGTTTCGCAATCAAACCCCCACTTTGTTAGGAGTTCGCATTGCCCGATGTTGATACTCCGTGATTGCTAATATTGTCTTCTGCCGCACACCTTAATCTTTTATATCTTAGTTAGGTGTTCAATCACTTTGGACATCAAATTTTTATTTTACATCCGATTCCCACTTGTTTGCTTCGGGTGATATGCTCCCCTTGACTAAAGCATTTCGCTTCTCTTCCTTACTATTTTATGCGTGTGCTCCTTAGAGCTTGCTTGTTTTATCCTTGTATATATCATGTTCTCTTAGGATGTACTTGTACATTTCAGATGCAAGTTAGACCTTAGGTGGCAATAAAATAGTAAGAATTAGAAATAGGCTAGTCTCCCGTAGACTATTTTCTTCCTTTTTTCATATGCATTTAAAACTAAAACTTTCCTTTTCTTGGCAAATCATAAAACATGCTAATCACACTTAAGCCCTTTTACAAGGTGATAAAACACAAACCAATCAAATGTGACATCTTGTCTTGAGGGCGTAACTCAAAACCATTTTCAGATAAGGACATGTTAATTTACTTGTGTGCCAACGCGTGAGTCTCCAAAGATCGAGTTACGGCAGAAGGCGGAATTAATATTATTCATAAAAAAACACAAACAAAAACATGTGAGTCGAACTACGGTAACTCTGATTCCTCTAAAATGATACGTGGGCATTGGGGTAGGGCCCAAGTGAGCACAATTTTATTTTCCCTACATTATTTTTTTCCTTTCTTTTGCATGGATTCTTCCTCAGTAGTAAACAGTAAGCATAAATTAAACACACCTATAAGATTAGAACAACAAGAGTGGATACCGTGGAGTACTACGAGCGTGTGGGGTGTTAATACCGTCCACTCACGTAACAGACTCCCTTATCCGATTTCTCAATCGCAAGACCGTGACTTCTCTCTTCTCAGGTTCTCTCGATGTCCACCTTTCCCTTCATGTAGGATAAAAGACGTTCGATGACGACTTCATTGTCTAATGATTTTCAGTCGGTTATTTCAAAAGGAAACGAGGATCAAGAAATCGTGTTACTACTCAATTGAAATACAAAAAAAAAACATTCATACATGATTCCAAACATATTCAACATCAAGTAAATTCAAGACGACCATGATTTTCAATCCACCAGTGAAACAAGAAGCGAAAGCTCGTGTTGCAACATGAAAAATCGAAATCAAAATAAGCTATAATTCTCTATAGCAAATTCTGGGACGCAACTACATGAATCTATTAATGCTCAATAAAATTCATCTAAAAATGTTCAACACAACCAAAATACATTGACATCACAACTAAAAAATTTCATTTAAATTCAAACTCAAATGTATCCAAAACAACACCAACACCTCATTCACATTGATTCAATCACATGATAAAACACTAAACTTTAACTACCCATTAAAATCAAGAATAATATTGTCAATACAAACTCAAAATCAAGAACCTTGCAGATTTATCACAAACAAAAGCATAACATCAACAACAAAATCAATAACAATGTCACCACCTTCAACACTTAACTCAACAATTAGAACGAAACAAATCAAACATTAATGTCAACAAAAACCTCTTCAAACTACCACAATGTCAATATCATTTCCATAAACAAAAATAGAGTAACAACAATGTCATACCAATTTCAATTCTTAAATCCATAGAACCAGAACAATAATATTAACCATCTTCTTCAACCTTTATCCAATATCACAACAACAATAATATCCATCATTAATTCAACATTTAAACATCCCAATAACAACCTCAGCTTCAATCATTCATTCAAATAAAAACAAAACAGAAATTAATTAAATGAAAAAAAAGGTGAGGTTATACCAAATGATGGGGAAGGAAGAAGCTTCGGACGTTTGGTATGTAGGGATAGCAATTTGTTATTCACGTCGAGCTTCAGTGGAGGGAGTATTGTTGTGGTGCTCTGGCCGGTTTCGAAGGTGCTCTCTTATTGATATATACATTTTTTTAATAGATAAAAATTAAATTTAAATAAAAACAAAATAAATCAAAAATTTTTATATAATTATTTTTTTTATAGAACCTAAAACTAAACTATGGTAAATAGAAGAACACAAATTTTTATATATACTTCTTTTTTTCAAAATTAAAACTAAATTTAAATAAGAGTAAAAATACATATTTTTTTCTTAATAATAAAGATTAATAAAAAATAATATCCAAAGGGAAAATATGATAAAGATTTTAATCGAAAAATAAATGCTAATGTGTGAAGAAATACAATGATATGCGAATTAAAATTAATTTGATATATGACTGCGAATGAGAAATTCAGGGTAAAATTTGGGATGTAACAATATCATTTGATTGGGTCAATTTTTTAACTCTTTTTAATTTCGAAAATCTCATTTTTGCATTTAAACTTCCACAACTATAAAAATATCATTCATGCATCATTCCAATTCAATGATACCATAAAAAATTTCTGCAATTGCTCTTCACCTTCAACCTCCAACTTATGCATATACACTAACAAATCACACATAATAATCTTTTGTTGGAGTGTCATCTAGACGAGGTTTGCTAACGTCCAATTGGATTCTTGTGTAGTCAAGAATATTAGGTTGAGATTTGCAGGGGTCTTCATCTAGAAAAACCACGGGTTTGTCCTCCAAGATTGTTGATTGATTTGGGGGATTTTTGTGCAAGACGTTCAAGAAAAGATTGCAGTCTAGTGAAAGACTTTGGAGATAGAGAACATAAAGGACCTTTGGAGATAAAGAACGCAAAGGAAGTAGCGTGATAACAACAAATAATTGAAGTCTTGTATTGTAATAGGTGCAATTGATGGTGCGCGAAAGCTTTGGAGATAAAGTATGCAAAGAAGTGGCAAGATCTGTTTAATCAATTGGCATTCTATTGTGTCTTGGTCTTGTTGAAGATCAAAAGAAGAGAGGGAGTTGAATCAACATCAAACGGTTATGGTTTGTAGGGTTGCTTTTGAACACTTTTCTTGTAATCATACTTTTGCAAAGTAAGAAAGTATCCTAATTCCAAATTGGAATTGAACGCAAACGTACCCACACGCAAGGGCGAAAGTGGGGAACTGTGTAGACAAATCCTTGTGTTGCTATCTATTATCTCTTTACTCGCTTTTGTTTTTATTGCGTACTTTGTCGAATAACATTGTTTGATCGATTGACTCATAAGAATTTTTCTGCAATTATTTTGTT